TATAGTAATTTTATTAAAAATTACAATTACAACAATAAAAACTAATACAAACTAAAAAAAAGTAAAAGAATAAAAAGAAAAAACAGAAGGTGCAGAAAAGAAAAAATAGAAGCAGAAAAGAGAAAAAGAAAAAAATAGAAAAATAGAAAAGAAAACATAAGAATATAGAAATATAGTAAAGAATAGTAAAGAAAGTAAAGAAAAAGAAATATATAAATGACTTCCGTTTTCATCACAAGTATAAACAATTTTAGTAACTTATCACCTCCTATTAAAATACAACAAATGATTTCTTCTTTCCATATCTCTTATCTATAAACAAATCTTTAAAGCCTCATAATTTCAGTCCTGATGTAACAAAAGTCCATGAAGGGTTACCAGAGGTAACAACATATCTATTTTAACCTTGATATAACAAAACTACTTTATATTTCTTCCTTTTACTTCTAACAATCTTGATCTTTAGTCCCTTCAAATAGTCTCCTAGAACTTGATTTCTTTTCATTTTTTCTTTGTCCCTTCTCAAAAAACTCTTTAAAGCTTTTACAGGCCTCTTTTGTAAATCCAACATAGGAAAATTATCCAGGACATTCTCTTTGTTTCTTATTTGTATACCCCTTTTAATTATTAAGACATCAGCCAGTTTCTTCTGAATGCCCAGTGTACCATCTTTTCCCATATTATCCTTGTAGCCTGTCATTTTTAAATCGATTTTCAGATGAATCTCAATCTTGTCAGGTAAAACTTGTTCCTTTTCCATAACACCATCTAAACACAGTCTATCTATGGAGGCAGGTACTCTTAAAATTAACTTCTGGGACCACTGTTCAAAAATATCCTTTAATATGTCCAATGTTAAAATATTTTTGCTTCATTCTGTATTTGTACGTTGAGTTTAAGTGTTCTTCTCCTTCAACTGTAATCTTTAGTTCCTTCTAGTTCCCTCTTGTGTTTAATTTTAAAGTCTTAACTTATTATGTTTTTTAAAAAAAGAATTCAAAACAAAATAATTTTCCCATCGGAAGGATTTTTTAATAATAAATCCTAAAATCTTATTTCAAATTTATCTGGACTCTTAGTCCATTTGTGACTTTCTAAAATCAAAGTTTTAATCATCCTCTCACTGTGTATTCATATATATTACACACACACACACACACACACACACACACACACAC